TATTATTATTATTAATATTATTATTTTTATTCAGTCATTTTATTTTTTATATTCTATTTGAGCAGTTTGTTTTCATACCTCACAGTAGCACTTCTCTTGTATTCCGGGTGTTATTCTCAGTATCTGTTGTGCTGGACTCTGCATATATAACATTCTTGTTTTCCCCATTCTTCCTCCTTTGTTCCATGATAGTGCTGCTGATCCCCAGCATCCTCTTGGCAGCCATGTCTGTGCAATGTGTGCAGAAACGGCCGCTTGTAGTCTCCATCTGAAACAGGTTGACAACACAGGAAGATAACCGGGAGACAGGGGCAGAGTGTTGTCACCCTATAACAGGAAGTGCCTGAACAAGGACCTCCATGGCAGGATCACCGGGGAATTATTTTAATAAAATCTACAGATTTACAAACATTAGAAATGGCTTTTGAAATGACATGAAGACGTAATGAGATTTTATTCTGGTGGGGTGTACATATACTTTAACAGTGAAGGAAGGAGCCCGCCGCCATGGGAAACAAGTGATCAGTAACGCGGCCGTGTCTTTATCCTTAGTGTTGGTTTGGAGCATTAGATTCCCAGCCCTGGTCATGGAAAGTGTCTGCAGGCACAGGGATGAATATGGCAGGGCTAGGAAACATCCCGGCCACTGATTGGCTATAAGATGGAGGACAAAGAAAACAACAAATCAATGATAACATGTATTCTTCTCTTAGAAGGCCAACAGGTTCCAGGGGGTCCTCAGAGGGTCCCAGTCATCAGAGATTAAAGTTATTAGAGGGGACACCAAACCAGCCTCTGTATTGTGTCATTTTCACTTCCAACCCAAACTTGGCCATCCCTAGTCCGGATTTCATTCCCTCTAACAATGCAAGCCATGAAGAAGGCAGTCCCCCAAACCCCCAGAGTGTGTGGGCTTACTATTGTGAACAATAAAAAGTCCATTTATAAACAACTTGCAGGGCCCTTAACTTTGTGAATATCTGTGAACGTTCATTTTGGGTGAATAATGGCAAAAATGAGTGTTCTAAATATATACAGGTGAAACTGGAATAATTAGAATATGGTGCAAAGTTAATTTATTTCACTAATGCAACTTATGCGGTGACACTGATATATGAGAGAGACTCATTACATGCAAAGCAAGATAGTTCAAGCCGTGATTTGTCATCATTGTGATGATTATGGCGCACAGCTCATGGAAACCCCAAGAACCCCAAATCCACAACCTCAGAAAAGTAGATTATTACATGCAATCAATAAAACAAGGATTGTACATAGAACAATATCGGACCTCTGGAAAGTACCAGCATGCATATGTACTCAGTACTTGGTTTGGGCCCCTTTTGCAGCACTTACTGCAATTACTTTTGCACGATATTCTAATTATTCGAGATTCACCTGTATTGTTTTCCCATTTGAAATGTAGTGTTGTAATATTACATTATGACCACCAGATGGAGCCATTGAGCATAGAAAGTAAATAAATATTTCCAATGCTCCTCAGCGCCATCTAGTGGCCATTGTGTAATATTACAACACTACATTTCAAATGGGGAAAATAACATTTAAGCATGCTCATTTTTGGCATTATTCACCCAAAATTTACATTCACATATATCTTCAGGGTGAAGGGCTTTGCAAATGGTTTATAAATAGACTACAAAGCACAAAAATGCCCCAGCTCACTTGCTAGCTAGCCTGCAACCAAACAAATTGCCCTGTCAACAGTATGCGTTAAAATCAGAGGTTTTAGTAGCACAAACTTTTGCACAAAAATATGTAGAAGCCGCACCGCCGCGCCAAGGCACCTCTGCAAAGTGTGGTCCTAACTCTATCTAAACGAGTCTCCAAGTGTGAGCATATTAATGCAGTCGATAAATTGCATGCAGGTGTACCAGGAGGTAGCCAACTCCTCCTTATAAGGGTCCCCACACACCTTACGATTATCATACGATAATCGCGGGAAATCCCGCGATCGTACGATGATCGTAAGGTGTGTGGAAGCCGTGCGACCTCTACTACTGTAAGGTCGCACGACTTTAAACTTACGGACATGTTCGAAAACCCGCCGAGCACCGTACGATGTTCGGCGGGTTTGTGGCATGTCCGGACGATAACAGCCGTACTGGCCGGTGTGCGCAAGCGCACACTGACCGTTCGGCATTGCGGTCATCGGAAGCCCGCCCCTCAGGGGGCGTGGCTTGAGATCATCGCAAGTACGATCTGCCTATATGCAACATAGGCAGATCGTACGTTTTTTTAAGTACCTTACAACCATCGCAAGACAGAAGTCTTGCGATGGTTGTAAGGTGTGTGCCCAGCCTAAGGTGCAGGGACGCACTGGAGGCCCAGCAACCAAAAATGCACGCTGGGACATGTTTTTTCTAGTTTATAAATAGACCCCTGACTGTTATCTGTCCTTTATCACTGGTGTGCCGCCCTCTATCTCCTACTTTTATATTTTGTTTTGTATAATATTTCCTTATTTGTTCTATATTTAACACTATAAACATATAAACATGTAAGCATCCTGTTAAGAGGCTCTCCCAGTAAGAAATCAAATCAAAAACTGAAAAGAATACTTTTATATTTTTATTCTTAATTCTTAAACCATACAAATAATTATTCTCCCGAGAGACACGATCACCACCAAGTCTCTCACCCCCACTGAAAAAGCAAACAGGAGACAAGAACGGAGTCAGGAAATGCTTGAAAAGTTTTTTGGGAAGTTTATTTACAATCGGAGGAAACAGAAAACAGAAATGAAAAACGCGGCGTGGATTAGCATGCTCAGTGTCTGCTAGATTTAACCCCATGCTCCCTGTAAGTCCCCGGCCCCTAAACATCGGCCATTTTGTCACCGTTGCTAAGGCGGGATCCCGGGATGGTTGTTAGGTAACAGGTTCTCTTTATCTTGGTCCAGGTGAGAGAGACAATAGTACATCGTCAACAAAGTAAAACAAAAAAAACTTTAAAACCCCCAAAATGAATGTACAGAAGATGGCGGAAGATTTATCATCTCGCAGTATTGTACTGGTTGTGTATTAGCGACGGTTGGAGATATTGATAATAATATTGACGAGTGATCAGATGAGGGCAGACCTAAACTACACGATGAATACAAGTCAGACGTCTCAGGATCTGGCTGGCCGGGATAATGGCCGACTCCGAACATCATTCACAGACATCCTACCAGAGACATCATCTCCATTCTTCATCGTCTTCCACTGGAAACATGGAGGTGATGTCACACAATTGCGGCTGTCAGTTGTCACCATGTCATCCATCTAAAGTAACACGCGGGACCTCAAACTCACCTCTGACCTAAACCTGTATAATAATAATACCAGCTCTGTCAGTCCTCCACAAAGCATTACACTGACGCCATTCACTAGAGAGCGGTGACATCACTGAGAATGCAGCCTATACCTTCACTACAGAGCGGTGACATCACTGAATGCAGCCTATCCCTTCACTAGAGACCGGTGACATCACTGAGAGCACAGCCTATCCATTCACTAGAGACTGGTGACATCACTGAGAATGCAGCCTATCCATTCACTAGAGACATCACTGAGAATGCAGCCTATCCATTCACTAGAGACCAGTGACATCACTGAGAGCGCAGCCTATCCATTCACTAGAGACCGGTGACATCACTGAGAATGCAGCCTATCCATTCACTAGAGACCGGTGACATCACTGAGAATGCAGCCTATCCTATCACTAGAGACCGGTGACATCACTGAGAATGCAGCCTATCCTATCACTAGAGACCGGTGACATCACTGAGGGAAGATCCTGTGTAAAGGAGGGCATCTCCGGAGTCCCTACACTCTGCTCACCCAAGCTGATGACTGAGGATGACCTCCAGGGATGTCGGAATGTCTGGAGGCGTCAGACCCTGATGACTGAACTGGCAGGTCAGCTGAGGCTTCAAGTACAGAAAGGAAGAAGGTAGAAGAGTGTATCTGTAAACGGCCTTGGTTTTACTGTTTTAGAGACCCAGCCTCAGCAGAGGTGTAAAATGCGGCGGTTTGATTGGAGGATCCGCCGATGAGATTTTGTTTTGCATCAAAGTTAAAGATGAAGATTTGCTCTCATTGGACGGCGTTCCTTCAGGAGAGCGGAGAGGGATCGCTTTGCTTATCACTGCTCTGCAGAACATTATCCTCCCTGCACAATGACCTCTGAGCTCAGGACTTCCCTATACATGTCATTGGATGTCCGCTGAATGGTGAGGATGCAATAAAAGCAGCTCTACCGCAGTCCGCAGAGTCCAAACCTGGCGTGCGTTGAAGAGAAAAGCAAGTGAACCTTTACTTTAAATCAGCTACGTACGTTCCAGGTGCAGCGAAAGCCGCGTGACATCTTACGGGTCGCTTTCCTTACAAAGTAGCCACGGCCTGAGTAGAAAAGCCCGTCCCATGCCAGCATACCGCAGAGACGGGCCCTTGTTCTCTATGTGTAAGCAGTGGTCTCTCTGGCACACCCCCCTGAGCTAGTGCTCTCCAATCATCACGGAGCCTCCAAGTGTGTGG